GTTCAGCAGATATTTAAACTGCTATCAATCATCGTAACTCAGATTATGCAACCCTGAAACTTTTGTGTATAAATACGCCAAGAAAAGTACCAGTAGTCATGCGAGTTTGGATGGAATAAATAATACCCCTCACACCTGACACTGAATAGAAAATGCCTGCTTCTTAATGCTACATTGGTGTTAAGAGGTTTTTCTATTCCCGATTTCAGTGACATCACTAACATGACATTCTGGGGGTTTTATTTTGTGAGTTTTTTTCCCAAACAAGCAGTACTCAGATTACATACTGTCCCACGTATCTCCTAGGCTTCTGTTACTGACTACAGGTACTTTTGATGGTTATTTGAATAAATCATTTAGTTTACTGACACTACTTATTTATGGCATAGAGACAAAAATAAATACCGATTATGCTTATACATGACAAAACTGGAAAAGCAATCAAGCTGTCTCAATTGCTTCCTAAAATGGGTTAAGCCTAGCTTTATGCCACTTTGGTCAAATGCAGACTAGAGGACACTATCCTGGAAAGCATAATCCTAATGCATAAGCTAATACACCCAAGTTTACATTCCAAAGCTGTGATAAGGAAGGGCCAAACAAGTCCACAAGCATGTAAGAAAGGCTACATTTTTTCACTCTGTATACACACAAACATCTTTAACAATACAATAGTGCATACAAGTGTTCTCATGCGTCTATCTCACCTTCCAAAATATTGACAAAATGCTATCAGGTTGCATAAGACGACTGAAGAAACTGCTTTACAAGAATGATTAAGCAACTCAAGTTTTCTAGAAAAAAGCACACGTCAACTGCAAAGGTAAGACATTAAGGAAATAAATATCCAAGAAATATAATACAGCTGAGAGACTAAAAAGTGATAAAGCTGAAGTACACACAATGCAAGTATGAAATAGTTATGTCTTCCAAGAGAAAAATCAGGTGTCATAGCTCATTGAACTTCAAAGTAATTCAGTTAAAACACTAGAGGTGACTATGTAGAATATGAAGGTGCTATGCACAGGAACCCAGAAATGATTGTTCCTCCAAACTGAGGATTGGGTGGTTTAAAATTTTCTGCTTTTCTGAATTTCAGATGTCGATGTTCTCCAGCTGCAAATGGAACTTTAGTCCAATAAGGTATGAGTAGCCTTTTCAAACCTGAGCATGGACTTCAGATAGCTTTCATAATTCTTCTTCTCATATTTTAGCTTCTGATTATGCCTTAACTACAAACCACATACCTTAAATTTTTCTAGATGCATCACTTTGATAAGAAGATCTTCTATCTCACCATTCTTTTGTTCTAACATTGACTGTAAGCGTTCCAGCTGCTCAAATTCTGCCTGAGAGCCTTTCATCTGTAGCAGCATAGCCATTTGCAGCTGGAAAAAAGGGAAAAAATTTCCTTACAGCAAACACTGGTTTAAGTGATTGAAAATCTCCACCTCTTACCCAGAAGAGCTAGATTGCAATTCACAGTTATCATCGTACATCAACACTAAAAAAATCTTTAGGACAGCTGAAAACTTACTGAACAGAGTGGTCCTGAGCTGTCGTATCTTTCTCTTTATTAACTAAGGAACCTATAAATATACCATTAAGAACACATACATTTCACATTCAAACCATAAACACCACGTAAGCTAGAACCAAACTACACTCCAGGCTTGTTTTTCAGTGCTAAAAATGCATCTGTTGAGAACTTCCCACCTGGGAAAAAGCACACTAGTTCACCGACAGATTTAAAACCTCTTTTGTTCTGATTCTGAGGTATAGGTAACTAAGTCTGCCTTCTGTAATATTAATCCAAGAATGTCAACTTCTTCCACTCCTGCAGTGGAACACATCCTTTCAAGCAAAAGAATGTTCTTTGTCATTACAAAATAGACATCTATCAAAGAAAAGCCACACATTTATAGCAGATTTTTCTGATGCTGTTAATGTAACAACATAGTATGAGGGCCTTAACACATTCAGTTAGAAGTCATACATCAGACATTTGAACAACTGGAGAAAAAAAATATGAAATGCAATAATAGAAAGACTTAATAGAGTTTTAGTGATAACTGTAGCACTTTTACCAGTCAAGTCAGTACGGATAAGGTAACACTGTAGACAGTTGGAGAAACCACAGTGAAAGGATCAACAGAAACAAGGTTGACAACAGATTAACAGAGAAAGCAAGACAAGAGCATTTACCCTACAGAATCTCTTATGTCAGGTAAAGGATATTGATGATTCTGCACACAAACTACCGCTAAAGAAAGATTCTACCATATCCTTATCATAGCTTGTACAGGACATAAGGGAGGGTAAATTTTAACTCCTTCTGGCTGACAAGCTATCTTCACATTTCCCAAGCATGTAGACACCTAACCTTCTCCGTTTTCACCTAAAACCCACTTGCTAACTGTCAGAATTGCAAAACACAGTTGGATCTACATAAAAACAAACAGAAATGTTAAGAAACTGAAAGGGATACCACAGTCTGTGGAAAATACACCAGACATAGTAAAACTTTCACAGGAGTACTGCTTACATTCTGTTCAGGAGTCAGATCTTCAGAAGTAATCAGCAAATACCATTCAGATGTTCTGACAACTAAAGCTACAACAACAGTTAACTATACTGTTGAAATCAGCTGCTGAAGGAAGAGATCAGTTAACTATAGACTGATTGAGCTTTAACACAAAGCAACACAAAGCAGAGAGGATCCTAACAGGAATCCAAGATACCAGCTTAAGCAAAACAGACGTCCTAACAAACTACCAATCTCCAATATTAGTATCAGAAGAAGTTTTATGGGGACAAATTTGTAAAAATTGCAATTACAAATAAAAACATTAAGTAGTAAAAGAGATACCTATTTGCTTCAGTCCTGGGTGAAAGTCTTCAGAATGAAGACTGTTTCTTACACCATTCAGTCAGTGTGACTGACTTACCCTCACAACACAGGAAAAAAGGTTTCTGAAGAAACTGACCCAATCATTTTACTCAAATCTTTAGCTCTCAAGGTCAGATTTTAGTACAAGAGAATTCCTTTGCTGCATCAGTAGTTCTTTTCTTGTCCTTTAATAATGTTGTTTCAATTCTTTACAACCTACTTCTCCACAAACCTAGGTAACAGAAACCTGTATATTCAGTGTTACTCATTACCATCACTCTTGATGTTTAAGCACTCCCCTCAAACTGCATGATCAAGTATTTGATCAAAATTAAAAGATCCATTCTTGTATCGGAAAATCAGAATATCAACATGACAACAGCTGGTAGTTTTGCAGCATCCCCTTTACATTATCTTGTAAATCAGCTCTGCTAGCTAATTCTCAATAGCATTAACTAACAGGGTCCCATCCTATAGAAATGTAGTCTAAATTAAATAGTTAAACCAAAAGCTATGACTTATTCTTGCATCAAACGTAGGGAAAAGAAAAGAATATGGACAAATATAAAACCAAGAAAGCAACCCAGAAGGGAGGGAAAAACCAAACCAACCAGTGTGACCAGAGGACAGAGTATAAGCCTACCCTTTTCAATGAGAAATTAGTATAAGAATTAGATAAGAAATGAAAAAGCAATTGTCAAGACAAACTGAATGCTAGCTTGGCTGACAGTTGTGTTTTAATTTTACCCATTTAACAATGGCTGCCAAAGTAAGCAAAGATAGTGCCTTCAGCATAACTTGCAGTCCAAGTAGTAGCACTAGGAGCAACAGAAAAGTGACAATATACAACAGAAGTTAAATAGCACAATGCCATCTCACTTGGTTTTGTTCCCATTTCCCTCCCCCCAGACTACTGTATTGTATTTTAAAGACAATCAAATCCTCTAGCTTGTGTACTAAAGCATCGCCTTATCAGACCCCAAGGAAACCCTGGAGTATTACAGTAGTGGTCATACCTTCATTCTTCGCAACTGTTCTCTAGCGAATGCATGCTGCTTTTGTAGTGACTGATATTTTATTTTCACAGTGATCAGCTGTCGTTCCATTTCTGCCCTACGGCTCTCCACCTACAGAACATTGTTAACAATTATTGCTATGAAAATTATAACACTTGCTGTCACTTGAATGACAAGTTTCACAAGATGTTACCTAGCAATTGATGTTGACTCTGCAAATACTGCTTTTCCAAGCAACAGTACTTGAAGATGTGCAATACTGCCACTACCTCTGAGATAAAAGCAAGTAGACAGCACTGCAGCAGCTGAAGCACAACCGGTAAAGTGCACCGGATTTTTCTTTTGATATCATAATGAAGTAATATTTCATGTGCTTTACTGTTGCTGTAGAATAGGTTTGTCCACTGGCATCAGAATAGTTTAAAAAAAAATAAAAATTACCATGTACCAGTTCAACTCCATTCCCCAGGTGTTGTCAGAAAACAAAATAACTTCCCATGCATTTAGCAGCAGCTAAACTCTTACTCAAAAACAAATTCAAAAACCCTTCCAAATGCTTAAACATCCAACAATTTTCACAATGTTTTCAAAACACAGCACTTAACAGTGTCTTTTATTATTCTACAGCATATCTTCTGCATTAAAGGCTTACCAGCTGAGCAAAATTACTTAGAGCCAAGAGCTGCAGACAGAACAGTCATGACTCCTCAGTCTTATAACTTCTATCCTGATAGCCAGAAAACTAAGTAATCCCATTAAGTTTACTAACTCCCCAAAGTCATTGTGTGCATAAAAATTACTTTCCATGCATCAATTCCCAGACATTTCAACACTGGAATAGAGATTCATGCTAGCCAGATCAGGTACAGACACTAATATTTTCAATGCAATAGAAGAAACAATAACTTTTAATTCTTATTGCTTCCGTAAATTCTTAGGTATCTCCAGCATAATTGTACCTCAGCAAAGAGAGAATTGCCTTTACTTGTAGGGTCCAAAGATTGCTGCACTGCATGATCCAACTGAACCTGAAGCTCTTGATTAGCTTCACGGGCTTTCTAGATAAAAGCAAAGAGAGTATTACTCATTTAAGCACCTGATGTACTGCATGTATGATTTCATCAGATAGTTTTACATCTTTTCCATTTCCTATGCCATTGGCACAGATTATCTTGTCCTGCAGGACTTAACTGTGCCCACAGTTCTAGGCAATAAAAGACAATCAATTTTGTTTCACAAAAAGGCTTAGTATTACACTTGCTCTTCAGGACAAGAGTATAACTAACACCTTTAAAGGAAAACTTCAATGTTTATCAATTAGATTAATGGTATTGAGACTATTAGTCTTGCTGTGCTTTTAGTCACAAAGTCTTTAATTCCCAGTACAGAATTCTTCAAGGCATTTGTAGGAGCTTGAAATAAAAGTGAGAATTACATCAGTGACCTATGAGAAGGTCCTATTATGAGGCAGAATAGTGCAGTGCAAAGGATCTCCATACACAGCCTCCCACAAAACAATGCCAAAATACAGAGCATTTGACAACAGGTAATACAAATGTGACTATCTTTTTTTTTTTTTTTTTTTAAACTCTGCCCTCTCTTTTTCCCCCACCTACCTCAGAACTTCTCTCTTAAAACTCCTCATATTTCACTGATAAGCTAGTACCACAACTTCTGGAATTTGGGGATTATCTACCGATATTGAAAAAACTAAGAGAATACCTCTAATGCATTACAGTAAGAAGCAACTTCTTTTTCTCTCTCTTCTTTTTCACCCAGCATGTGCTCCAGCTGATTACGTAAGTTACTGTTTATGAGTTCTAATTGTTCTTTACTATATTGCAGTTCATTCAACTTTTCTTCCACATTGGTCTAAACAAAGAAAAAAAAAGGAAGTATGAAATAAAGATTTTAAAACAACTTGAGGAAAAGCAGGCCGAAGCGTTGTTAGCAGCAATTACTTTTAAAACAAAATATTATCTTGAAGAAGAGGTTGTATTAAAGTCTAGTTAAGACTATTTTTTGTAAACATATTGTCTTAATAGTAAGCCAATCATAAGGCAGCAATATGTGCCAAAGCACCTAAAAATGAAATGAGCAAGAGCACAGAATTTTATCTTCAACTATCCTACATTGCTAATTAAGTGCTAGTCACAGACCTTTGCACATTCTAGTTCAGTGAGTTCTATCTGAAGATTGAGCAATTCTGAAGACATGGTCTCATGTACACGTTCAGACATCATATGTAGTTCTTCTGATTTGGCGGCAATTATTTCCCTCTGATGATCCACTTTGTGCCTCAGTTGTTTCTCTGAGAGTCGGGCTTCATCTAATTCTGCTTTCAGGTTCTCCAACTTAAAGACAATTGACAATTAAGTGGTACCATTTTATAATAAATAATTGAAAAGAAAAATACTTTTGACTCTGTTCTAATTACAGAACATTTCTTAGAAATACAGCTTCAGAGTAAAATTTTCAAAATAAGCTTTGAAATGTAATGTAATTCATAACATAGTTATGCATATGTCTGTTAAAAACCATCCAAACAATTGGTAATAAGTGTGCAACTATACATAATGTTTAAAATTATGTTAGCAACATTTTAGCTGTGTAATAGTTGCCAAACCTTGTTTTTAAGGTCACTGATTTCCTGTCCATAGATTCTGGCAAGGTGTTCTTTCTGTTTATCCAGTTGCACGTTTTGCTGTTGCTTAAGAGAATCACATTCAAAACTCAAGCTTTCCAACATTCGATTCTTCAGTTCAATTTCCCTCTGAAGAGAATATTTATCTTGTTCAAATTTCTGAAAGAAATAACATACTAATAAATCTAGATGTAACATTCATAAATGCGTGGGAAACTATGTATTAAATACAGGCTCAGAATCAAGACACTAAATACCTAAAACTCGCAGCTCATTCAACCTTTTGTTGAAGGTCCCAATTATCATACCCATGTTTCAAAAAAACAAACAAAAACCACTGAAACTTTATTACTTATTTGGTTGGGTAATGTCTTCTTCATGGAAACTATCTTTCTTTGCAACCAACATGAAAGGTGTGGGCATCTTTTCTGCAAGTGTAAGCAGGAAACTCAGTGAGAACTTACATGTCATTTCTACCACCATGGAACCTGATGATGTTAAAAGTTGCTACAATCTCTCCTATGTTCCCCTACTGCAGAAAAGTTCAGTTCAATGTTTGCTAGAGACTTCTCAATTGTCTGCTGCTTTGTAATAAATCCCATCAGTCCTTCCAGATTGAAGAATTATTTTATAATTAGCTTCCTTCTACGCTTAATTGTATATATTTGCCAATTATAAAGGGTAGCTTCATTTTATTCTTCCATTCAACTAGCAATTAAGAAAAAAAAATAGAGTCTTGAAAGCAGAAGAGGTAAATACCAAAACCAAATCAGTCTAAAGGTGCAGGAAAGAAAAGAACAAGAGTAAAAGCTATAAGGTATGAAATTGATCTCTGTAGCCTAGACACCAGCTTATCAGGGACAGGCTTAGCTCTCAAATACACAGGACAAGAGTTTTAACTCAAAACAAAAGACAGTGCACATAAAAGGTTTGGTAGTGCAATGCTGGCCAGACCCAAGAAACACAAAAATCTAGCACAATATTTCTACACAGACCTTTACAGAAGCGTACACAATTTTTGTCTGAAAGACTCTTGTGCCTACTATTAAAACTTGGACGTGTTCATGACTCAAAAGTATCTGTTGGATAACCAGTTTCCACACACAGTTTTGCTGCTAGTGTCTTTTTTACAGCTGTGATACAAAGCTTGCAGGCAGAGCATAATACAAATGAACTGCTAAAATACCCAAAGCACATGCTTTAACACATATTTACTTTAACATCTAGTATTTATTGTATTTTAAATGCAATTAATCCTACACAGTACTGAACACTTGATGCATAATTAGCTATGAAACCCTATCTTAGTTAGAGAAAATTATGGTCAATGTCTTAGAGCAGAAATAAGAAGCCCTCTCTACAACTACTAAACTAAAAAAGTTTATTAAAATGATCTAGACTAAAAGGCATTTTAAACACCTGTGAAAATATTCAAAAATAGTTAAAATAAAACAGAGTTTAAAACATCACCTCAGTTTTCTCAGTCAATTCACTGCGTGCTTGATCCAGCTGATTTTGAATTTCACTTTGGGACTCCAATAAACGCAAGCCATACTGTGCTGCCTTTCTTCGCTCATTCTCTGCTTCCTTGAGTTGTTGTCTGAGACTTAAAACAGTCTCTGTCTCCATTTTTCTTCCTTTTGTTACTTCAATATTGCAAACACTAAATTATTAAAAAATAGGTTGCACTAAGTTACAGTAGTTAATCTGAAAGAAGTTACTGGAACTCCTTTCTCAAATAGGATAAAAGGATATATTTTCTGCATCGATACAAGACAAAAAAAAAAGATACCTCATGAAGAAAGTCCTGTGAACAGTAAAAGAATAGATATTTCTCCATAAATCTGGTTAACATCTTATTCCTAACTACTTCTTAAGCAATAGCATGCAGCTGAACAATTCCTGTGTGCCCAGCACAGTGCTCCTAGTACACTAGAACAAGTTAATCTACCATATAGCAATCTTGCATATGCAAGAGAAGGCTAGGAAATAACTTTGTAAAAACACTTCTATGCATATGGCTGACAGTATTTTCTGTGGTATTATAAATAAAGCTACACTAAATATAGCATTACTTGTATACACAAATAACACTTAAGATTCATGTAGGCAGCTGCACTGGCAGAATGTGTTACTCCTAATAAAATCTTGTGGTATACATGCAGATACAGATAAAGGTAGTTGAAGGAAAGAGTAAAAAAATAGAAACCCCATTAAAGTATATGGAATTTTAACACAGGGACTTTTATTTATTTCTTTTAAAGGCTTGATGGAGTCCTTCATGTCAGTTTTCTACTTTAAGTCATTGAAGGTAATCTATTTGTTAATAACCATCTCTTCATCACATTTCAGAACACTAATCCATTTCTATCTTCACTTCATAATAGAACACACAAGATGGGAATTTCACAAAAGGTCAGTCAAAAATAAATGCAAACAAACAAAATCCTTTAAAAACTAAAAATCAAGTCAAATACCATAAACCTGTATGACTGCTTACTCCCAAATCTACTTAATCAGCACACTGTAAAAGAAAAAAATCCTATTAAGACAGAAATTGCTAAGCAACTCAGGCTTCTGAAAAACATAAGCCAAAAGCTCTCTCAAAGTATGCAGTAAAAACGACATACAACTTAAAAAAATCTGCAGTTGTTTCTCAAAGCCAGGGTTCATAATTTTTAAAGAATATCAAAATTAATTATTTATTGAAGATCTTATTCTGTCCTTTTTCTTTTTACATAAACAATTTAATTGTTTGCATTTCTTACTGGCACATACATTATCCTTGTGAACATTAGCAAGATAATGGTCTTAATCAAAAGCAAATTTCACAGCTCACAGGAGAGTATTTTTAAGAGTCACTAGTGTAATCTAATGTTCTCACTTTTTTTGTTGTTTTGCTTTTACTCAACACAAACTCCTTGTGAAGTTTCCCAGCTTCCTATAAAAAGAAAAAACAATTCAACATGCAAAAGCGCATCATGCCAAAACTGTGCTATTTCCTTTCAGAGATACAAGACAGAAATTATCAAATTCTGTTTTCCACATTTTCCATCACCTGCTGTTACTCAAGTTTAATACATACAAAGAGACTTTATCCAGTCAGGCTCTGAAACTTCCGTTTTTCACCTCTAACCATTACAACGCTTGAAATACTAATCCTGCACACTTGTGCTAAAATAAGCCAGTGAAAGACAAGAACTATTAAGAATCAGCAATATTATTATGTGTGCATAAACACATACACTGTGTAGAATTTAATAATGAAACGTTTAACACTAAGATGTAGGGATACAAGCACAGAGGCAACCACTCCTGTCATGCATTTGCATTAGTAAAGGGGATGAATTAATCCTTATTCTTTTCATAAACAGAATTTTAAAATAGCTTTACTTTCTGACCAAACAACTGCATAGAGACAACATAGCAATTTGATTGCTCCTAGCTTACTAAATTAGAGTAATATTTTTAATTCACCTTTCAGTATTTGTTGACCTTATTCACATACTTCACTTTTGAAAGAGGGGAAAAAAAAACCAAAACAACGCAAAAGTTGTCTAGTCTGCAGGAGTACAAGCTGCCATTATAGCTGTGTCCTTCACAGCAGTGTTTTCAGAAACAGCTTAACGCCTGTGGCTCTCTCATGAAAGCCTAGATCACAAGCTAAAACCCCATAGAAATGCAAATCTTATTCCAATCTTTGTTGAGGCAGCCATCAGATAGTTTAGAAACAGCCAGATCAGGCAAAGTTGCCAAATGATAGATGCTCTGCAATTGGCCTGTGGGGCAAGAAAACAGACTACGCCCAGAGTTACCTTCTAGCACACACATTTTATGGGCTGTTTGGGGATTTTGTCTTGCCCCTTCCTACTTCTTCAATCGCTTTTGTATCCTCACCTCCAGTTTCACATACAAGATCTTTGAGCTCTTAATAAATAATTTACTGAATAATATTTTTTAAAGATTTTTGGCTTTTCTTAAATTTTATAGTTGAAGTGTGAAGGAAAAGATACATAGCTTTCCTATCCGTACATTCCTTGCCAACTTTGAGGGAAAATAGCAAGCATGGCTTTAAAAGCACTGCCATCCTCAATTTTTCATTGTCGATTTTGGATCAAGTGAATCAGACAAGTTCAGGTGGCTTTGAAAACAAGTTCAGTAAAGCTGTACTGTTATATAGGGAAGTAACTGCCTGCAATTTGATATTACACATGAGATTAAGTAAGCTACCCTGAAAATAATGTTTTAAGGTAAATAAAATAGGTAGTAAGGTGAGCAGGTAGGAGGTGAAATAATGGAAATCAGCCTACCAAGGGTTACAATAGTCAGTCAGTTCTGGCTATTTGTCCTCAAATATTTTACAATGGATTCTGTACTGAGAGCTCCAGACGTTTATTATTTAACCATTTAAGTACTTCTTGACAAAAAAATAATAGGCCAGGTGATAAAAAGGAACTCCCCTGGCATGCACACTTTCTTCTCACATTCTATAACTGCTCTTCTAGTTAAACTTCTGTTCCCAAGGGTCATATGCAAGATTTATCTATGTTCTGATCTTTGCAGAAGTACCTACAGAGTTTTCTGATCACTAATATAATTAACAAGATAGTTTCTCTCCCTTAAGCCACGTGTTGCCCTTACAACTCAATTCAGTTACTTAAAAATGTGCATTTCCTCACCTACCAAGTTGCACACTTAAGTAGAAATATTTTCACGTCTAACCACCTTCCACAAGACATATTCTTGGGTGGTTAAGTATTACAGAGAAAATAAATAACAAAACCAGGCTATAGCCTGATCTTGCAATCACTATTAAGCACTCGGCAAACGAGCAATTGGCTCTGGTAACACTTTGCTTGACCAGCACAGTGCCATGTTTTATCTTTTCTTTAGTCCAGGCCGGCCATCCGCGCTATTCTCGGTTTACGCTCAGGCAGCAGCTGACAGTCGGCATAGCTTTCTCCAAAAAAATGCTTCCTGCCCATGTTCTAACCCTAATGGACAAACAGGGCGGAGGGAGAGACGGTCCTCCCCTTCCCTTGACACAGCACCTCCGGGGCCTAGGGAAAACGCAGTTGTTCCCGCTAGAAGGAACAGGGGAACGCTCTGAGGGCGCCATCCGGCGAGAGGACGGACCTGAAGGCCGCGAGTCCCAGGCAGCGGCAAGGAAGGACGGAAACAGGAGCTCTCCTCCAAGCCCCTCAACCCCACCGCCCCGCCGCTCGAAAGCGCCTTGCTGCAGACAAGAGGCGACAAAGAACCGGCGGCAACCCCACAGCCGGGCAGACTGCTCCTCCATCCCTCAGAGCGCCAGCCCGCACGCCCCGCACTACCTCAGCCCAACAGCCGCCTCGCACCGGCGCCGCTCCGCAGTTCAAACTCGCACCCGCAGCGCTATCCCGCATCTCGCGAGAGCCGCGCCCCTCTCCGTCCCCT